TGTGTTTCTTCAAACACTCATATTAGTATAGAAGAACGTTCAGTTAACGAGGTTCACAAATAGAATGAAATATGTGTCCATCTTGGAGTTAAAAACATGTAAATTGATATTTTTCAGTGCAGAAGACTTCAGCTGATATTATTGAATTTTATCGCTAAGCAACTATTGAAGAGCAGGAAGGGCTAGATGGCACTTTTAACAAATGCGTAACTACGATTTCACTAGTGATCGAACTTAAGACCTTCGGACATTTCAGAAAAAACTTAATCTTCAGAACAACAACTTGGGATTGAATTACTTGGATTTTTAACTTCAGTCAGTTTGTGATATTAGATGACCATTATAAACTGTCATTGGTAGTATCTGTCTAAAAATAAATATATTTAATTCTACCGATTATGATTTCTCATTAAAACCCCATGTATAACTCCTGAAATTTATTATAACTGAGCATAGTTGAACACCATATGGAACTCAAATACTACTGTCAGTCACTATCAAAGTCACAATCTTCAATACGAATGTCAAGATGGTCCTATTGTAGGGAGATGAAAGTTGGAGAACTAGCACAACCATCATGTAGAGAATACAAGTATTCATAAACAATTGTTTACGTATGATATTGAATGTTTGTTAACCGGATAACATTAGCAACAGCCTACTGTAGAAGAGGATAAACCAACTTCCAGCTGAATTGGAAATTAGGAAAAGACGTTTGAAGTCGATAGGGCACATATTGAATAAATCATCAAACTGCATCACAAGGCAAGCATGAACTTTGAATAGTGAAGGGGAACAAAGAAGGTGAAGGCCAAAGAACATACTGAGTCGGGAATAGGAAGAAGATATGAAAAGGATGAATAGCAACTGGAAAGAACTGGAAAGGATTGCCCAGGACAGAGATGGATGGAGAATGCTAGTTGTTGGGGTATGCTCGTCGATGAGAAGTAACGGGCGTTGTCAGTCACAATTTTTTATTACATTAAAATCTGCATTGTATCTGTTGTTGTATAATTGATAAAGATTATACTATAATGATGAACTAATCAAGGCCGATGTAACGAATCTAAGGTTACAACATACAAATATAGGGAGATCTCTGCAGTTGAATACCTTGCGGGAACGTTAAAAAATTAGACCCGACGATAATCCAACACTTAACTAAAGCTCACAAACAGCGAACTCTAAAATACCAGGAGGGTTTCAGACCTGGTCTAAGTCAGTGCCTAAACTAATGATAAAGATTGGAGTAGTTGAGTGTGTTGACCACTTTACTCACCTTGAAAGTTTCATCAGATCCAGTGGGTAAGCGTCTAATGAAATAGATGTACGGATTTAAAAACTTCGATTGATTGTCTCCAGTTTTGTCGCTTGTGGTGTAGGCATGATGTTCGTCTATTAACCAGGAGGTGAGTCCAATGAACAGCATTTTGTTGTGTTCTTCTCTATTGGATGTAAAACACGGTCACTGAGAACAGATTATATTAGTAGGTCAGTAGTATTCAATCTTAGATACCTTCGTTCATGTATGTTAATAAAATCGACTGGTTTAATAATGAGTTTAAGCATAAAGCATTGGACAAAATGGAAAATCGGTTAAAGGGATTGTTAATTATCGTCTGCTGAGATATCTGGGATGTATGTTACGTATACTGAATCATTACCTACACCGATGGACAAAGTTTGCTGGTGTAGTAATGGGTCGAAACAAAGCTAGCGGTGGCCAAATAAATACAGAGCATCAGTTCATTGGTTCAATTCTTGATAAACTACGGATGAGTACTGATGATGAATTTCATAATAGGACAAAATATTTCTCGAAAGACTGTCGAAATATAGTCACCTCATGATGTCAAACTAAAAACTTAAATGATCCCCACAAACTCTCTCTACTATTCTCTAATTGGTTATTATCATTAGCATTATTCAATATTATATTTGTAGTACAATACAAAATTCTCAGCATAATGTATTTTGGCAAGTTTCAGTTTCTCCTCGATCGATCTTGACGACAAATATTGAATGATCCCCAGTTGCCCCAAATCCTCTGATACAGCCGAGAGTGAGGAGAGTACGCTCTCCCTCTCCAAATGCTTTCACATGGCCACGCGTATATAGCCTCTGCCACACAAGTCCTACTCACTGCCTTCTCGTGGCATCAGTGTTGTTTACGAAATTTAGAGGACGTAAAGCGAATGTCCGACGCTTTAACCGAGTTAGTGGACACGGAAAGTCCACCTAGGAGAGTTGGGAAATCCTCATTCCAAACCAATGCTGCACATGGGCTGGCTCCATTATCCTGATGGAACAAATGAAATGAGATTTGTGCGGCGCATATATATCTGATGCCCCTTTGTACCAATATTTATGTGTTTAAATAAAATAAAATAGATGGTCAGTTAGATGTTAGCAGTTTAGTCAATCGACATTTAAATAATGTACATTCTTTTCGCTTCATACCGCCAGCAACCACGATATCTTTGATTAGGCGTTTTGTAACTTGTACACTTTTTAGAAACGTACCGGAATAGGTTATGCGATTAATAAGCATAATGATGTATTCAAACAAAAAAATTAACTTGTCAAAATATCTAGATAGCAGGAACAGTTAGCCCAATTGTTCAAGCAAGCCGCCTATACTTTTCATTAGTCAATAAACTAATTGTAAACATAAAGGTAGATTTTTATATAGTTGAAATCATGAGTCAATTGAAGCTAGACAACGAAGAAAAACCTGAAACTACTGGACGATCATTCCGTCCTATTGTGGGACTCCTCAGCAGTGTGCATCAACGATTCGGCCTCACGAAATTCAAACCCAGGACCTATCGGTCTCGCGCGCGAGCACTTAACCTTTAAATCACTGAAGTGGCCGGCATCCAACGATGTTAATGTCTAACTTCTACTAGGTAGATTATTGATTCAGCTATTGTCACTTCTACTTTTGTTCAGGTAATCGGTTCTAATCTTCTACTTTAAACACCAAAACTAAGATCAATTACAAATATCATTCGAAAGCTGTTATTATGTTAGTATAGTATCATTAGTATCATTAGAACTATCTTATTAGATAATAATGAATGTATCATATTCGAATCATAAATTACTTATGAGTAGTAGTAATACACTTTATAACCTGATCAATTTTATATTCACTTAGTACTGGGTTCGAATTCCAGAGTGATCACTAACAAGTATGAGATGCAAGTACATCCAGCTGACGAGTCGCAAATGGAACAAAACGCGCTTCCTGGATTCCTCCGCTAGCCACTATCCATCTTTACCTACAGTGCTTGTGAAATAAGGCTATATCGAGCAATACGCACAGTATGTACATATGCCAATTAGTGACTGACCAGTTGCAGTCCTAACAAATCGATGGGAAGATTCAAACAAACAATGCCAAGTGAATTTAAGACATCACCCCATTGCACAAACAAGTAGCTTTTAGAACTCAGTAACCGAATGAATAACGCAATAGCATTTGAAGCGAACAGTACTGATTTCGAGTCTCAAAGTGATCATCAACAAGTCTGAGATATATGTACATCTAGGTGACGAGTCTCAACTTGGACGAAACGCGCTTTGTCCTTGATTCCACTACTAGCCACTATACATAATTCATAGAAAAGATATTTATACAATTTCATAAATATATTTATTATTATTATTATTATTACTATCATATATATATATATTTATTATATACAAAGGGGGGCTATATGTATTCTAATGGATGACTTAAACATGTAACATGTAATGTTTGATTACCAATGTTTTGTTTTTGTTTTTCTTCTAAACAGAAAATTTCGTTTGAGTAAATTATAAATTTGGGAAGAGGATTTATACAAATAATCTATCATATGCATAGATAGATAGTATGGGTAGATAACTAGATAGATAGATAGTGTGGGTAGATAGATGGTGTGGATACATAGATATACAGATAGATAGTTAGGTATGTAGGTAGTGTGGATAGATATATTGGATAGATAGATGGATAGTGTGGATAGATAGATAGATAGATAGGTAGGTAGGTAGGTAGATGGTGTGGATACATAGATAGATAGATAGGTAGGTGGGTATGTAGGTAGTGTGGATAGATAGATAGATAGATAGGTGGGTAGATAGGTAGATGGTGTGGATACATAGATAGATAGATAGATAGATAGATAGATAGTGTGGATGGATAGATAGATAGATAGATAGATAGATAGGTAGGTAGGTAGGTAGGTAGATAGGTAGTGTGGATAGATAGATAGATAGATAGATAGATAGATAGATAGATAGATAGATAGATAGATAGATAGATAGATAGATAGATAGATAGATAGATAGATAGATAGATAGATAGATAGATAGATAGATAGATAGATAGATAGATAGATAGATAGATAGATAGATAGATAGATAGATAGATAGATAGATAGATAGATAGATAGATAGATAGATAGATAGATAGATAGATAGATAGATAGATAGATAGATAGTGTGGATGGATAGATAGATTGGTAGATAGATAAATGTACTTCTATTTATTAATACTAAGTTAAAGGGTATATCTTCTTTTCAATGAATATGTCACATTATTATAATCACATATTGTTCAATGTTCAATATCAAAGAATCATAACATCATTTTAATTATCTATCCTACTGATGGTCATTATTACCAAATAGGAACGATTCAAGTATATGTATATGCATATATATGTAGAATAGATCAAATTCAATCATTCTTATTAGAATAGTATAAAGAGGAAAGAAAAGAAAAGAAAAGAAGTGATCAGTAAACAAGTAAACAAATAAACAAACAAATAAACAAGTAAATAATTACAACTGAATTCTTCTTTATGTTTTTCTTTTTTCTTTCTTCTTCTTCTTCTTCTTCATTATTTTTTTGTATTTTCAGTTAGTTACAAGACACACCAACAACAAAAAAATTATTTTTTTAAAATTTTTTTATACATTTCATCAAAAAATCGATAATCATAAAAAAATGCTTTCCAATGGGGTGGGGATGTTTTGCATTTTTGATTTTATTTTTGTTGCTATGCAATATAATATCTTTTAAATTAATTCATTTATATATCGATTTATGTATCTTTGGCATGTTATTGACATGATGTTGTATCTCTCCCCCTCTCTCTCCCTCTATCTAACTCTATCTGTTTATTGATTTCATGGGAAGGGGGGTAGTGTAAATTTCTTCTTTTTTTTTGTATTCAACTATACAATGATGAAGGTGTCTATATTGAATGAAGTTAAAGGGATTATAAGAACATTATCTTCTTGAAATTAAATAAACAATCAATAATTAATTCTTGATTATATATAGAATAATAAAAGTAGGAACGTATATTGTTGCCGTTGGTGTTGGTGGTGATGGCGATGGTGGTGGTAATGGTGGCAGCGGTGGCGGTGGTGGTGATGGTGATTAATTTTTTTGTACATTGGAAGATATATCATTTAAAAGATCTCGATTATTACTATAATTAGTGATATTACCTAGTTCAGTAATATTAGGTAATAATCTATGACTGGCAAAATAGTTTGGTTGTTGTTGTTGCAGTTGTTGCTGGGTGTTATGATGTTGTTGTTGTTGTGCATCAAGACGTTCCAACCATGATGCGGATGATGATGTATTATGATTCACATGAAATTGTGATGTTATATTATTATTATGATTATTTCGATTATGATTATCAAATTGTAGACTAGATGTATAAGATGTATTCATATCAGATCTTCCAATATCTACTGGATCACATTCATTACGATAAAGTGATGACCATGCAGATGAAACAGATCGTAATGTATTACTTTGTGAGTTACTACTACTGTTTTTATTGAACCAATCTGTATGATGTGTACTATTTAGTTGCTGAGGTAATAACTGTTGTGGATTTGGATGATGATGTTGCTGTTGTTGTTGTTGTAAATGGGAATGTTGATGATGTTGATGTTGATGATGTTGATCAACACCTGATGTTATATTTCCACTACTACCATAATATGCTAATTGAGATGCTGCATAATTTGCTGCAGCTACAGCTGCCATCATAGCAGCTGCTGCACTATGAGGATTGCCATTTGTAACTGATGATGATGACGATGATGTTGTAACACGGGGGAAATTACTGCCGTTATTACTATTAATAGCAGTATTAGTATTGTTAGTATTATTCATAATGGGTGTACTAGATCCACTTCGTCCAATTGAAAATGGTGGTGGAGAATCTAAACTTGATCCACCAGTTTGATTTGATCTAATTGTTGATTGATTTAGAAATGTTCGTTGTTCATTCATTCTTATCTGATTTATCATATTACCATTATTTGAATAAAACATTGACCATGGTGTATTACTTAAACGTTGCATAATAGTCATAGAATTCGAATTATTCACTTCTGTATTATGTTCTGATGTAGTATCATTTACAGCTGCAGCGGCTAATGCTGCTGCAGCTACCGCTGAAAATGGACTAGACATATCGGTTGGTAATAACTGTTGATTAACATTACTGTTATTCATTGTAAGAGATGATGTATTACGGAGAAACTCCAATGATGAAGGAGTACCTTGATTGATTGATACATTTTGTTCCGGCGTATAACTTGGTTCTTGTCTTAATAAGAATCTAGAATAATTATCATTATTATTACTACTACTATTAGTAGTAGTAGTATGATTAGTAGTATCTCTATATTGTCCAGAAATATGTCGATTACCATATAATGATTGTGAATGAAATGATGTATGTTGTTCATATTGTGTTGTTGTCGTCGTTGTCGTTATCGTTGTCGTTGTCGTTGTTGATGAGGATGACGATGAGGATGATGATGATGATGATGACGAAACATTTGTATCCGTTCCAAATAATGTTTGTCTTAAACTAATATCTTTATCATTCTGATGAAATTCATTTGGATAATATGACATCATCATATTGGATTGTAAATAGTTTGATGATTGAAAATCAACCGGTTGTTGTTGGGATTCAACTACTGAAGATGTATTATTAGTAGTATTTGTATGAGTAGTATTTACTAAGCCAGTAATTTGATGTGGTAAATAATTGGTTAATGGATTTCCCAATGATGAATACGGATGACTCGATGGAAGACGTTGATTCGATGAATGATTAAATAATCCATGTAAATGATGATGATGTTCATGTTTATGTATATGTTGAGTTTGTGATGATGGTGATGTTAAAGGATCAAATACATTAGGAATATTTCGATGATTTGAATGTGTCAATGGTAGATTTCCAGCGATACCAGGGATACCACCATTATGTGATCCAGGTATTGTATTATTTAAATAACCACCCATCATTGCGGCAGTTAACGTGGAGGAATTCTTTTTTTGTCTTTCTAATGGTTTATGTTTACGTCTTGGTCTATATTTATAATCAGGATATTGTGCCATATGATTTGCTCTTAAACGTTTTGCTTCATCAATAAATGGTTTCTTATCGGTTTCACATAAACTTTTCCACATTGAACCAAGACGTTTACTTATTTCTGAATTATGCATTTTAGGATTTTCTTGTGCCATACGTCTACGTTGACCACGTGACCATACCATAAATGCATTCATAGGACGTTTAACACGATCTTCTTTTCTGTGGTTATGGCTATTGTTATTATTATTGTTGTTATTATGAGTTGTTGTAGTGACATTTGTCAAAGATGATGTCAAGTCGGAATCATTCTATTTTGTTTTTGTCAAGGAAAGAAAATAGAAAAATGGAATAAGATGGTTATATGTTTAAGCTCATATGAGTACTGGACGGTGAGTTCGCCTTAGTATTGGACCTCTCAGAAGTGCGTATCCTGGGTTCGAATCCTGCTGTTTGGATCGTGGATGTGCACTGTTGAGGAGTCCAATACAAGGACGAAACGTTCTTCCAGTACTTTCATGTTTTCAACGGTGGTCTAACATTGATCTATTCATGATACCAATGTAAACAATTATTGTCTTAAATTATTACCATAATCGCAAATGTGGTTTTTGATTTTCATAAAACAAAATTGTCTTGATTCACTTGATGTTGTTTGGTTGTATCTTCCCATTGTTGTTTACGCCTGAAATTGACTAGTCTCTTGATGTCATATGTGCATCCTATACCAGCTTCCTTGATATTGCCTTGATTAACAAGCATTATAAGCAAAGATGAATGGCGGCTAGCAATGTAATCTAGGATGCGCGTTTCGTCCTATTTAAGACTCGGTAGCTAAGTGGATAACGCGATGAATGATATACATTGTTAGGACTGCAACTGATCAGTCTCTTGTTGGCATATGTGCATCCTGTGCCGACTGCCTCGATATTGTCTGAAGTCACAAGTTCTATAAACAAAGATAGATATTGGCTAGCAGTGGGATCCAGTTTGGTGCGCGTTTCGTCCTACTTGGAGCTCGTGAAATAGAATTAGTAGGTAAGTGGATAACGTGAGGGCGTTTGAAGAGAACGATGCTGGGTTCGAGTCCCAGAATGGACATCAACTCTGAGATGTAGGTACCTCCATCTAACTAGTCCTAAATAGGACGAAATGTATGTCCTTGGTTCCACTGCTAACCATTATCCATCTTTGCTTATAAAATTGTCTTGGATGAAAATGATGTACTCCATCTTTGGATCTATGGTAAGAGTTCTAAGTGAATTTTTATTAATATTCGATGAATAATGGTTTATGAATTGACTGCTGTCGCACTTCAATCTAAGTACCACAGAGTGTAAGGATATGTCAATAGTGAGGTTCTGATGATCCATTAATTTTAAAGCTATTTTATAACCATTGAGTTGAGACGTTGTATTAGTCAAAAGCATTTTGTGAAAGAACTAATTAAATTATAAGCTTTATAAGCGAAGATGGATAGTGGCTAGTAGCGGAATCCAGGTAGGAACTCGTCAGTTGAATATACCAACATCTCAGAGTTGATATTCATTTCAGGACTCGAACCCAGTACTGTTCGCTTTAAACGCCATCACGTTATCCACTTACCTACTGAGTCCATCTGACGAATTCTAAGTAGGACGAAACGCATGTCAAATTGGATTCCACTGCTAGCCATTATCTATCTTTGCCTATAAAAACTTGTGACTTCAGGGAATATCGAAGTAGTCCGCACAGTATGCATATATACCAACAAGAGACTGATCAATCACAGTCCTAATAATGTATATCATTCAATATTGAAGAGTTTCATACTAGGATGAAACAACCATCCAATACTTCTAAGTTTTCAATAATGATCCAACAATAATCAATTCATGATCTCAATCAAATAAATATCATTCGATAAATCATTCATAGTAATAATAATAATAATAATAACTATTATTATTATTGGTAGTATTAGTAGTAGTAGTAGTAGCAGTAGTAGCAGTAGTAGTAGTACTAGTGGTGGTAGTAGTAGTAGTATTAGTAGTCTTAGTAGTAGTAGTAGTAGTAGTAGTAGTATTAGTAGTAGTAGTAGTAGCAGTAGTAGCAGTAGTAGTAGTACTAGTGGTGGTAGTAGTAGTAGTATTAGTAGTCTTAGTAGTAGTATTGTCTGTACTATAAGTAACCAAGATATATTCAAGTTTATGATCAACCTGTCCTGATTATGAATGATGAATACCTATCAAATTGGAACATAGTAGATTTATGCATAAATCATTATATGACCTCAAACAAGATTGACAAGTTAGTTCTCCTTATAGTTCGATTCTTTTCTTTCATTTTAAGTATTAAAAAAAAAATTTTTTTTGATTGTTTGGCGAACTTAATTCTCTAATACAGAATGATTGAGTAGTGTGTGTAGTCTATAAAAATTTCAAGAAAGGTTACATAGTAACTATAAAATTGATCTTTTACAATTGATTGATTACTTGGTGATGATGTGTGGCAAGTCCTTCTTGGTGTAGATCGAATACTATCGAACAAGTTGTAATGTGGTTACTAATCTAGCTGACTCAGTATTGCCTGCATTATGTTGAGATAAGATGGTGGTTGGAGGTAGGGAATAGGAAACCCTAGATCTAGCTTTCATGTTCTTTGAACATGACACTTATGACATTGATCACCATCCAGTACCCAATCAATTGTGAATACATCTCAGTCTTAGAGGAGGTCAGTCGTGTCCCGAATAGTTCAGTGGTCAGGTCTCTGATTGTGAAGCTGGATGAGACAGGATCTTAATCCGTCAGGGAGTATCATATCCCTCAAGTTTACAGATAAACCTTACTGATGAGTGTCAAATAGCACGGAACCTGTTTCCAGGGTTTTCATTTGACTACCTCCAACTACCATCCTATTTGAATAATCTTTTAAAAGATGAATAAATTTATTTGTTTGTTTTTAACTCATTTGATTGGTGTATGGAATATATTCTGCATGATTTGATCTCAGTTAGTATGTCTACCATTGGAAACCAAAGGGTATTTGACAATTCTTTCGGTTTACTATGTAACTCCTCAGGATTGAATATTCATAAATTTACTAGGAATTTCAGGTGTGGAGGCTAGCGCTTGATCATTAAAGCTTTGTGATTGGTGTCCACTGATAAACTCCAAATGCCCTGGTACGGCTGAAAGTGGGGAGAGTTAGCTCTCACTCTCCAATCGCTCTCACATGGCCGAGCGTATACAACCACTGACACACATGTCCTACTCACTACCTTTTCATTGCATTACTATTGTTTGTGAAATTTAGAAAACGAAAAGCGAATGCTTGGAGCTTTAACCGGAAACTGTGCTCAAGGTTTCTTGTTGACTACCTCAAACTACCATCTTAACTAATTATCTATTCGTCAACTATGAGTTTCTCTATAGACTCTGATTGTGAAGCTGAGTGATATGGAATCGAATCCGTCAGGTAGCATCAGTTCCTTCAAGATTACAGATATACCTTACTGACGAGTGTCAAACAGCACGGAACCTGTGTCTAGGATTTCCTGTTGACTACCTTCATTTTAACTAATTATCTATTCATCAACTATCAGTTTTCATATAAGCCATTGAAGCATATTAACTTATAGATTAGAATTTTACTAAGGTTACAAATCAATCTATGTTAGACAATCGTTAAAAGTCTAGAAAGACTGGATGACCATCTTGTTCTAGTATAATTTATTTTGTAAGCACTTGTAATGGAATGTGAATACATCCAACTTATGAGTCCGTACAGCAAATCAACCTTAATAGATTATCTATCAGACATAGACTTATACATGGAGAAACACACATAAGCTCATGAATATATCAGACACAAACAATGATATATCAGTCATAATTATGTGTAAATCAGTTGAATTACTTTTAAACATGAAATATCATTCAATAACTATTTTCAGTTTGGGGTTGTGGAGATCATTCAGTTTTCGATTAAGATTATGAATTGATCAATGTTAGATCACCAGTGAAAACCAGTCGAGCTAATCAGTATCAGGTAGAGATAGGTATCTACATAAGACAATGGAAGATGGTCGTGCAATTTCATGGATTGGTTGAAGATAAACATTAACATTACCGGATGCCGTCAAAATCAGTGGTCTAGAGGCTAAGCGTTCGAGCTTGAGACCGAAGGTCTTGGTTTCGAGTCTTACGTATAGGATCGTGGATGTATGCTGTTGAGGAGTTCCACACTCGAACTAAAAGACTTTATGGTACTTCTGGATTTTTATGGTAACATAACATTGAACATAATCATGATATTCTATAGAAATATAGACTATTGTATGTTGACTACATTGATATTGTGATAGTATCCTACCTGTTGCAGAGACCTAAGTGTTAATGACAAGGTTAAATATGAAGTTATAAATGTATGAGGAGTGTTTAAGGAGTTATTAATGATGAACTAGCAAAAGTTCATTACTTTCTTGTTTATAATTTTTCTCTAACTGATGTCAACATTTATGAATAGGAAAACTATGATTGTTATTCAGTTTGTGTAAGGGTTATGATACCGTCCAGGTGCCTAGATTGAAGCGGGTGGTTCTCTTAGGGGAACACATCCCGAACCTTTAACCTAGAGGTCTAGTCCACAAAGCAAAGGAGCAACGTCACGAGATACAGTCTCGTGGTAGTTAGTCATCAGCGATTGCTTCACACGCCATTTGTTTCTTAAGGATCCTGAAACCGGTGTGCATCATTGGTTTAGAATGAGTGTTTTCCAACTCCCATAGGTGGATCCTCCATATTCACCAATCCGGTTAAAGCGCCGGACATTCTGTTTCGTAAACAGCACTTATGGTGTGAGAAGGCAGTTGTTAGGACTTCCCCAATAGTGTTTGTATACACGTAGTCATGTGATAGTATTTGTAGAGGGAGTGCTAACTCTCTCCACTCCAAGTCGTAACAGGGTATTTAGGGGCAATAAAGAATACCTGTAAGTTCTATGATAATAAACAAATCGAACTGAAATATGGCAAACAAGGAAAGGAATAATAATAATAATAATAATAATAATAATAATAATAATGGTCACAAGTAACCCAATGTGTTTTATTTTGATCTATATTTGCATGTATATAAAGCTTTGTGTATGTCACTATGTATAGGTACGTGTCCCGACCGTTGTTGCTACCTTGACGTGGTGGTCGGGCTTGCCTATCGTGGTGAATCCACCGAGTTACACTGGCTGGAACAATCGTTACTCAAGGTCCTACCATGCCAGACAGGTCGGTTGAAGAGCGGTAAGACTAAAAGCAGAAAACCCAAGGTCC